CTAATAGGTCTTTCAATCGTAACCTTACCAAGCTACATTATTTTCAGGCGGTAATCTGCATGAAGTGTTACTTAGCGTCTTAACAAGCTTACACATATAATCTGCGATTTAACGCTTAAATTAAAAGCAGATAGCCATGTGAAACTGCAAGCTTTTTTTTAATGATGGGTATTGCGGCTTCCAAGACCTTTTTTAACTAAGCAATGTTTTCAGATGTTGCTTCTGCGGCTGTGATGTTTCGAATTTTTAACATTGCTGTGCTGTTATTTACAGTGCATTTGATGGGTGGCCGTAGAATTGCGAGCTCTCAAAAATGAACACCACGTTACCTTTGGAATTTTTTCTTGAACAACAGTGCGAACTCTTTTAGACACACTGGTATGGGCGCGCAGAATTTTCTCATTGTCTTCAATGCACTCAGCAAAAGTAACTGAGGAATTAAAATAAGCTAGTTACTCAAACCCAAGCCCATAATTATATTGGAAAGTTCAACCTGTCTATGACGAAAAATAGAATCATCACCCGGATATGAAGAAAGCACTGTTTCGTTTACATTTGTTCTTTTTTACTGTCTTTCTCGGCTTTTTGTTTGCTTTTCCTTTTTGATTATCACTTGATGTTTCTTTTGTTACGTTGACAAACATTTCTCAACGACAACTCTCGAGAGACACTCGAAAGCGATTAGTTTTGCAACATCAAAAAGAAAGAAACAAAGAAAAAACAATCTACCTCAAAAATGTTAAAAAGTCCTTTATAACTACACGGTATTAGCTAATTTGGACTTAGAAAGAGGGAAAAAATCTAAAATAAACTGATTCTCCAAATGTAAAAGTCTCCTCACCACTATCTGAACCGAGTTGGTTCCTATTGAGAACAACATCTACTTGGCGCAGTTTACGAAGCGTGTGAAAAACCCTACTATGGTCCTTATTCCATGGGTACCTTAGTACCACCCACTTTGTTGGATCCTCCCAGCTGACACATCGATCAAAAGTCTGTTAATCGAAGCAAAAAAATTTAGTATTATATTGTATAAAAGGTTGTGGTTACTCTTACTGAGTATACTAGTAATGAGGTTTGATCGCTTGTCTCAGAGTAGCTACTTCGTGTGGAATGCTTACTGCTAGACTTCTGCAGGCGATGGGCTGGACTGTTTGCGCGCAACTTGCTTTTCAAATGTTTTGATTGGTGCATTTCGAAAACTCCTCAGCGATCCGCTGTCATACGGCTTTCCTGATCGTGGGCATCCATGTTTTTGGAATGTCTTAATAATAATGTCTGCTTTCAAGATTCTTCCCACTGGGGAAGGGGCTATCTATCTTAAATGCTAACATAACCTAACCCTAACCCTGACCCTGCTTTTGTCTCTAATTCCAGTCATCGTTGTGAGGAAGTCGCTGCAGTCATATTCCCGAATCTAGACAACCATGCGAGAAAAGAAGGGGACATGCTAATATTGAGTTATGGATGCACTTGGGAGGTTTGCTAAGCACTCAAGAAGCTAGAGTCGCTCTCGGCTATCGCCTCGAGCGACTCTTACGCTTTTTTCGTGCTTAGCAACCTCCCGCGTGCATCCATAACTCAATAGTGTACGCTGTGGTGTTTACCATTTGTTAACTTGATTATAGAAAGGTAGCAAATTCTCCTCACTTATTTTAAGACTGACCATGAGTATCGGTCCGGCCGGGGCTCGAACCCTCAACCTCCCGCACAACACAATCCGGCCCTCTAACCAACTGAGCTAACCGGGAGGCGGTTAGCGCCGAATCCTGATAGAACCTAGAGAGAATTAGGAGCACGTAAACGTAAATCCTGGTGTGCTCGGATTCATGCGAGTTAGTGAATAAGCAAACAATAATACGAAATGAAATGGTTGAGTAGCGTTTCTTCAAGAACATGAAGAATGGAAAGCTGCAAAGTACTCCTTTGACGAAATGCATTTTTTAAATCATTCCCTGATAAAAAGCTTTGGTAAAAGTTATGAAATCAAGCCATGTATTTCTTTCAAAAAATAGTTCCTAGTAAAAGATATTTGAATAAATCAACTTGAAAGTAGATTTCTTTGGGGTCTACCATTATTAAACCTCCAACTCCCAGAAGTGATTAACATGCAACCTCTTTCAAAATATCCAGCAAACAGGTAATGAAAACATTTAAACGTTTCAGGTAGAAGTTCTTTTCTTGACCTAACACTAAATTCTCATAACTAATTTAAAAGGAAATGTGTGTCACCTGGAGTGGAGAATTGACAAGCAGATCTTGGGAGTTAAAGTAAGAAAAGTTCTCTATCAGTTGGTGATAAGTCTGGTAACACATACTATTCAAATTTGGTTTTCGTCGCAAGTACTCAGAATGTTAGTAATGATTGGGCTCCAAGATTTTTATTGAATAACTTTAAAAATTTTCCATATGAGTCGGCGATAAATTTCACACAAAATAAGAGAAACAAATATCAATTTTTGTGCATATTCTGTCAATTGGTTTCAGGCTCAACAGCTCAGAATTTGAAAAATCGGGCACTAGAATTCCTTGTTTCTTGTATTGAATCACGTTTAAAAAGAAGTACTGTATCGTACAGTCGGAAAAAAAAAATACTCTAAGAGAAATTTAAGAGACAAAAACCGATCAAATCAAAGAAATTTCCTTAAGTGTTACAGATGCTAACGTGATAATCCACGGAGGAGAATTCTAAAAGAGTGCGAGATAATAACGCGACAATTCAATAAAAAAGACTTCTAATAGTGTGCAACAGGCTAACATAGCAATCCAGTGAAAGACTCGAGAACGTGACGTAACGTAACAATCCAATCAAGAAGAATTCTAAAAGTGCGGGGAAAGGTAACGTAAAAATCCAACGTAAAGAATTGATAAAAGCGCTCAAGATACTAACGTATGAAAGTGCCTCAGAAAAAAAGTTATCGAACAATTTTTTAAACTTTTCTTAGATGTTCCCTGCCAATGTCTGTTTCGAAAAACGCAGTTAAAAAGACAGGTCACCGCGTTTGTTTAGGAGAAATGATGAGCCAAACTTACCTCATTTATGCCTCCATTTGCACTAATCACGCGCGTCACGGTATATTTTGAAGTTGCTGGAAGCAAAAGTTTTTGAAGTAACACTTGAAAAAAAACTTGATAGATAGAACTTCTCGAATGTATGGAACAAACTGATATATAATTTGTGAAAAAATCACGCATTTTTTAAACGACATCGACTCAAAACTTTCCTCCAGCCATTGCTTTTAAAGTAATGATTTGCATCCTCAAGTAACGAGCTTTGTACACGCATTTAGCTACATCTTTTTTTCCCTGCGTTGAAATTTTTTTTCAATTTCCCCAATTTAAAGGGGATAACTTGTTCACCAAAATTTTGCAAAAAAAAAAAAAAAAACAGAAATAAAATTTAGGTCACAGTGATTGTTTAAGAGTTAAAGACTATCGTACCTCTTTACCTAGTCCATTTATTGGAAAACAATACCGTGTTGACAAAATGTGCAAATAACGAAATACTAACGAAACAATCGAACAAAAAATAATTCTGAAAGTAAGCAAAATACTGATGCGACACCCCAATGAAATGGACTTTTAATAGTGTGCAATATACTTACGTAACAATCCAATGAAAGATAATTCTTAAATTACGCAAGAAACTAACATAACAATCATTCAAGAAGAATTCTTAAAGTGCAGGAGAAAGTAACTTAACAATCCAATGCAAAAGAATTAAAAAAGTGCTCAAGATACTAACATATCAATGCAATGAAAGAGAGTTCTAAAAGTACACAAGATACCAACGCAACAATCCAATAAATAAAAACTCTAAAAGTGCGCCAGATACTAACGTAAAAATCCAATGAAAGAGAATTCTGAAAGTGCACAAGATAAAGAACATAAACTTCCAATGAAAGAGTATTTTAAAGTCTGCAGGATACTAACATAACAATCCTATGAAAGAGAATCCTAAATGTGTGCAAGATACTAACGTAACAATCCAATAATAGAGAATTCTAAAAGTGCGCAAGATCCTCACATAACAATCCAATGAAAGAGAGTTTTCAGTCTGCGCGAGAAACTTACATATCAATCTGATAATAGAAAATTCTAAAAGTGCACCGGATGAAAACGTAACGATCCAATGAAAAAGAATTCTGCAAGTGTGCAAGACACTAACGTAACAATCCAATGAAAGAAAAATCTAAAAGTGCACCAGATACTGACATAATAATCCAATGAAAAGGGAATTCTAAAAGCGCGCAAGATACTAACGTGACAATCCAATCAAAGAGAATTCTATAAAAGCGTAGGGTACTAACGTAACAATTCAATTAAAGAGTATTCAAAAAGTGCCCAAGATACTAACGTAACAATTCAATGAAAGGGAATTCTAAAAGTGCGCAAGATAATAACTTAACAATCTAATGAAAGAGAATTCGTCAAACTTTCTTAGCTTTAAAGCGAAATTGCAAGAGTTTTTTCTTAGATAATCACTGAATTGGCCAAGCCGCACATTCGCAGCACTTTTTCTTTACTTAATTTATTATTCTAAGTGAGGTGGCTCTCCCATAAGCCTGGTGGCTTCTTGGGTCTCCTCGCCTTCTAACTGTTATCGCTGTAATTAACTATTTTTTTAAATGTTAAAATAAGGCAAATAAAGATGATGATGATGAATTTTAAAGTACGCCAGATACTAACTTAACAATCCAATGAAGGAGTATTCTAAAAGTGCGCGAGATGTTAACTTAAAAATCCAATGAAAGAGAATCTTTAGACTGTTCTAGACACTAATATATCAATCAGAGCAAAGAGAATTCTAAAAGTGCGCGAGATGTTAACTTAAAAATCCAATGAAAGAGAATCTTTAGACTGTTCTAGACACTAATATATCAATCAGAGCAAAGAGAATTCTAAAAGTGCGCGAGATACTAACGTAAAAATCCAATTGAAAGAGAATTCTACAAGTGCGTAAGATACTAATGTACCAATGCAATGAAGAAGTGTTCTAAAAATTCGCAAGATACTAACGTAATAATCTCATGAAGGGAATTCTAAAAGTGCGCGAGATGCTAACGTAACAATCCGATGAAAGAGAATTCTAAAAGTGCGTAAGATACGCACGTAACAGTCCGATGAAAGAGAATTTCAAAAGTGCGCAAGATACTTACGTAACAATCCAATGAAAGGGAATTATAAAAGTGCGCCGGATACTTAGGTGACAATCCAATGAAAGAGAATTCCAAAAATCCGGTGAAAGAAAATTCTAAGAGTGCGCAGGATACTAACGTAACAATCCATTCAAAGAGAATTCTGAAAGTGCGCAAGATACTAAAGTAACAATCCAATGAAAGAGAATTTCAAAAGTGCGCAAAATACTAGCGTAACAATCCAATGAAAGGGAATTCTAAAAGTGCGCGAGATGCTAGCGTGACAATCTGATGAAAGAGAATTCTAAAAGTGCGCAAGATACTAACGTAACAGTCCGATGAAAGAGAATTTCAAAAGTGCGCAAGATACTAACGTAACAATCCAATGAAAGGGAATTATAGAAGTGCGCCGGATACTGACGTACCAATCCAACGAAATAGAATTCTAAAAGTGCGCGAGATACTAACGTAACAATCCAATCAAAGACAATTCTAAAGGTGCGCAAGATACCAACGTAATAATCCAATCAAAGAGAATTCTACAGGTGCGCAAGATACTAACGTAACAATACAATCCAATCAAAGAGAATTTATTTATTTATTTATTAAACTTCCACTGAGTTAAAGAAAAAAAATAAGAAGGATAAATAAGCTCAATAGTAAAACGAAAAGCGAAAAGCAAAAAGCTCAGTGAGGAACAATCACAACAGAGCAAGCTCCAACTAGGTGAAAGTCCAAAGGAAAAAAAAATTGGTAATACAAGACTAATTTAATATGTCTTGAAAATATCTATATAAACTATGCAAATTTTAACTTCCACTGAGTTAAAAAAAATAAGAAGGATAAATAAGCTCAAT